GATTAGATAGAAAAATGTACCTATGATTATCAACCAAATATATATATACAGAAACTACTTGAAACTGTTAAGCATATTCTTGTATATCAATAAATAGATATTGACTTTTACTTTTATTATGTCATAAATTCTTCTCATTTAATTGTTTTATTGATCATTTAGTCCAATTTTTATTGATAAAAATAAAATATATCTCGATCATATTATTAATGAATCTGATGGATCATATTTTGAACTTAAAGAACGACATTTATGCAAAATTGATACCAGTCAAGCTAAAAATCTTGTTCAACCAGGTTAGCATCTCTCATCATATTGAAATTCGAAGAAAAACAATTGATATTTTTTTTGTTTTATTTCATAGAGGATACATCTTCTGATAATGCTGGTCAAGATAATCGAAATTTATGTGATGAAGGTACTGTTAATCAAGTATTACAACAAGAAGAAATCGAACAATTGAAATCTGAAGGTGTATCAGGTCAATCAATCATTTCTCAACTTGTATCCAAAAGTGCAACATTTGACAAGAAAACAGTTTTTTCACAACAAAAATATCTAAATAAAAAAAAGAAAAAGTATTTTTAATAAATTGTTTTTTTATTTTAATTTTATTTGTTTTCTTCGAAGATATATTCAAATCTATCGAGCATGGAAACCAAGTATTCGTCTATTATGTCAAGCATATACACATGATCTTCAAAAAATCATGTATATTTTAATGAATTAAATTTTGTTTTTAATTAAATTTATATATATTTTAGGTATTTAAGACGTGATACATTAGCTATGCTATTATCATTATCAAATGTGAATCATGGTTCAAACATTGCCATTGTTGAATCATGTCAAGGACTTATATTAGCTTCTGCTATTCAACGTTGTGCTGGTGGTGATGGTTTAATATTTAATTTAACACCAGCTGGTGAACATAATTCCACTTCGTATATTAAAAGATATTGAATAGTTTATATATGTAATAAGTAAATTTTATTATTTTAGTCCATGTTGTGATTTTATGGATTTTTCAAGTGAATCTACAGCGAATGTTTATACAATTCCTATTGAAAATATTGGTAAGATTAAATCGAAAAATAGATATTTAAAATCAATTATTTGTTTTCAAAAAAAAGGTGATACAAATGCTGTTGAACGAGCTAATCAAGTAAAACCAAAACATGAAGAACCAACTGAAAAATCTTTACAAGCATTAGCTCGACGACAACGACGTTTTGATGGTTTACAATTATTTGAAAAAACAAAACTTAATAGGTTGAATTTAATTAAAATTAATTCGTAATCTTATTTATAAATTTTATTTAGTTTAATTATTGCAAGTAAATATGATTCATTATCAATTTTACAACATTTAGTTGATTATCTGGCAATATCTTCACATTTTGTCGTTTATTCTCAATCTATTCAAGTAAAATGATTGATCCTGTTGACTGTTTTTTTCTTATTGAATTATTTTAGACTTTATTAGAATGTTATCAGTTTTTGAAAAAACATGGTGGAACTATTCATGTTGAAGTAGCTGATTCATGGTTACGAGAATATCAGGTTAGACTATCTAAATAAAAACAATATTATTGAATAGTAAAACAGATGACATAGAACTTTAAAAATCATGAAAAATTGAATTATACGTTAGATCGAAAAAAGAACTAGAGCTTAAATTTATATGATTCTGCTTTGCTTGTTGATTCATAAATATATCAAATTAAGATTCATCTATTTCTTGAACATGGAGGAGAAAAAAAAGCATTTTTTTTGTTCGAGTCTATCATGTTACAACAGATGGTTACAATTGAATTAGATTTATTCTAAACTAGTCAACATACATATATGTATCCAGAATGAATCATTAGTATCAATGAAACATGATTTTACAGTCTAAAGAACAGTTGTATGGTTCATTTGATATTCATTGAAATTCAGTAAAATATAATCTTCGCTTCAGTAATATTATTTTTAGTTGTAAGCAATGAAGCGGAAAAAAAAAGAAAATTTAAATATAAACTTCGACGCGTGGTTTCATTATAGTTGTCTCTTAAATTTTTAAAAATCTTACTTAAGTTAATAATCGGAAATGAAATTTTTTG